GTGCGAGTCAAGACTTCCTGACTACTTGATCTCCCCATCCAACTCATTGTCTGGCCAAACATGATCTCTCTCTCTTTCTCCTCATTGTTCCTGTCCAACGTGGCTTCCTCATCCTCGGTTACGCAAGCGCGACGCGCTCTCGTCCTCGACCGCGTCCATGCTATCCACTTTGCCCTCCTCCAGCAGCCTCTCCTCAGACAGAGCACGCGATTCAATCTGTACCCAAGCGAGCCTACCATCATCTGCTGCGTCATTTGATTCGGGGTCGATGGCTAGCATACGCTGCGGAGAGCATCTAGCTGTTCTGTTGCCCAAGCAGCTCTGGAAGGTGTGACTGCCACTGTATATTGCGCCCGCTCGGATCACTCAGACTCATCTGCTGCTAGGTTGATTCCGAGTCCACGCACTGTGACTCGCTGCCATGTTGCGTTCCCTTCACTCTGTTCAAGTGCCGACACCACTGCCACAAGTGTGGAGGCGTCTTCTGCCGCTCATGCACCTCCCAGACCACGCCCCTTCTTGACACCGCTGCCCTGCCAGGTACTATCCCCGAAGACACCGCCGTCTCCAGTCTCGCGTCCCCCAGGAGCCCCATTGTGCAGTGCCGCGTCTGCATGGACTGCTACAATCAGGTGCTTGGCAGGCAGATGCCTGATAACAAGTACAAGTGGATGTTGTGCGAGCAGCCACGGAGATTCAGTTCTCTGCTAGCCTCACTGATTTCCCTGTTCGAAGTCCTTGCATTTGTGACCCAGTCTGCTCCATCTTTGCCGCCCCAGATCCCGGCAGCACTGCCCTTGGTTCACAGGCGCTCCCTTTCACAGGCAGTCTCCCCAAGACACCGGACGCGCCTTGTGTCCCTGCCCGTGCCAGAGCGGTTGCTTTTTCCCCTGCGGACAGACTCCCTTCCCAGCACTGGGCTTTCCACATATCCGCTCTCCCTCCCCCCGGCCATCTGCAAGGCCACAGGTGGAGGAAGCTGGGCGCCAGAGCCATTCGTGCCTGACCCGATGCGGAGACCGCTTGTGCTGGGCAGCCGGGCTCCCTGGAAGACGGAGTACAAGTGGGCCAAGGAGGAGGAGCGGCAGCGCAGGCGTAGCATTGTTGTCCATGTGAAGCTCGGCAAGGCTGAGGTCTGCTATTGTGTCTGGGGCCAAGACCATGCAGACAAGTACGCACCCAAGTTGTTTGAATGTCAGCATTTGGTGCTTGCCACCTTCTGAGCAGCGCTGTGTGAATGTGTTGTTTCTCCCTGGCCCTATCTCTATTGCCGTATATTGGCCTGTATTGGCATTTTGTCATGCCCCTCTCTAATCCACACTGTTTGTGGCTTTCTGGCATGCTCATTTTTGACACTTCATAGAAACATGTGCGTTGCACTCGCCTTCATACAGGGTGTCGCACTCGCTCTGGCAAGGAGTTTTCTGAGTTTGAAATGGTCATCTCCCCCACCCCCCTCTGCCCCATTTCCTCATTTGACATTGTCCATATGCTTAAAGCCCAACTGGACGCTGAGGTTGCCACTGGCGAGCGCACAGAGGAGGTGCCACTCACCTCTGAGAATCGACCGCTATCCCCCCTTGCTGACATTCCCAAGTTGTCGGCCAGTGAAGAGGCGGAGTCAGCTGCGGGGCCTGTGCTAGCTAAGGCAGACAGGAGGAGGAAGGCAAAGATGCAATGCAAGTGGCAGAGCCGCCAGTGCATGCAGGCCTAGGAAGCAGCAGTGCTCATTGAGGGGCTGAGTGGCGTCCTGCACCCAGCAGTAGGCGCCATGCCCAACCACGCCCATCCCAGCTCCGTCTGCACAGGGTCTGGCAGCACCCTCCCTGTACTGCCTAAGGCCGTCTCCAAGTGCCGCACCCTTGAGGCGTTCAGCTCTGAGATCAAGATTGAGCTTGACTCACTGTCCCTGCCACACTCCTCACGCTCATGGCTCGGGCCACAATCTCCTGCAATTGCACTGCCGCCACCCTGCTCCAACATACCAACTGACCTTCCCAGCCTTGCTGACCTTTCACTTGCACTCCTTGACAGCGAGGTCGACGCATTGGTTGGCGAGCCCGGCTTTGCCTATGTTAACTGGGCCGGCGAGTACATTACGCCCCCCCCTCCCCTCTCTATTATCTCAACCAAGACTAGGACTAGCATCAAGATTATCAATAGCAAGGGACACATCGTTGCTGTGCTTGTCAGCATGCCCAAGGACATTTCAGGATGGAAGCTTTCAATGGAGCAGGCTGCGCTTGACATCCAAGCAGAGCTTTCAGGCTGCAGCTTCAACCCTGCCAATCTCCATCATTGCTGCGCTGCTGACCACAGGTATGCAGCCTTGGCCATGGGCGTCTCCTTTGGTGGGGGCCAGCGCCGGCCAGGCAATCTCAAAAACAGCGGCGCCAAAGCCTATACTGGCCAGCGCCTTCTCAAAAACAAACACGTTCTGCGGATTGTTGGCTTCACAAATTGTTTGTTGCCCCCTGCCACCTTTGGATTGCTGCACTGACCAACTTAGGTGTCTTTCAAGTCTTTGTGCCTGTTCTCTGGGCCTATTACTTTACCTCCATGCAGTCGCTAATAGCTTGGGGGCCATGGCTGGTGTGGAGCTTTACTACAAGCATCTTTGCTGTCTGCACCTTCAGCATGGGCCCCAAAACAGTGACCGTCAGACACTGGGACTTTACCAACCTCCTCTGGGGCTGGTGTGTAATCACTGCCCTGGACTGGTTCGACTGCAACTGTGGCGGCCACATAATCCTTTGGAACCTTCGTCTTGTCATTCACTTCCCCTCCGCCTCCAGCATTCTCCTCCCTTCCAGCCTCCTTGAGCACTCAAACACGTTCATTGAGCCCAACAAAACGCGCCTATCACTGGTACAATACATGGCTGGTGGCCTCTTTTGCTTTCTTCAGAACGGCTGCTAGACGTATGTCGAAAGCATGCCAACAATCTCCTCTGATGAGGCCCAGACACGATGGGAGATGGGCATGAGGATGTTTGCCACCACACCCCTTGCACCTGTGCCCCCCCTCCGCCACACTGTGGTTGCTCATAGTTACTGCCCAAGCCCTACCCACCCCATTCCCTTGTTTACAGCCAATCCCTTGCCAATACAGTAGCACATAATAATCGCATATATTGTTGTAAACTTCTGATCTCTAAAATCTTGCTCAGTGCCCAGCAAGGTGCTTCAAATTGCAACCATAGTACATTTTGGGGACGCCGGCCTCAATCTTTGTCTGAAAAATCTGAAAAAATCATTGAATCCTAGCTTAGGGTCTAAATGAAAGCGCATGGCCAGCGTCCCACTCCTAGTCAATGGTGCGTATCCCATATCAAATTCCATGGAGGGTCTCAAAGCAATCAATTCCCATCAGCACATTTGATGGGACTGGGATGCAGAGAGCTGTATCTACAACATCGGTATTTTTATTACAAGGATCTTGTAAGGGCAACTCCTGCCAGCCCAAAGGAAGAGAGCATACAGCACACAACAACCTCACATGAGTCTGAGCACAGAGGGGGATCCTTAGAGAACGGTTCAAGGATCCATGTGCCCAGGTGTCACACTATATAGTCAGCTGTGACAAGTGACTAATGATGATGGGATATCACTGCCATGGAACAATGGCAGATGACAAGTAGATAATGACAAACCCAGATAAGATAGTGAGTGGCTCAGAGGGGCTAGTGATGGCCAGCTCCTGAGACACCAACAGTGGAAGGCCACACTGGAGGAGCCTAGTGGCCAGGCCAGTGCCGGGCCAGCCAGTGGAGACATTGGAGGCAAGGACCAATGCCTGACTGGGAAGAGGGGTGGTGCAGATGAGCGCAAAGGCATCTGGTACAAGCCTGTACGGCAGTAGACCACATCTGCGGGGAGAAGGCCGAAGTGAAGGGGGAGGAGTGCGTACGGCAGTAGCACTCCCTGGTGCAAGGAATCGGGCTTGGCTAGACTGCTTGCGGGGATTTGAGGGAGATGGCCGGGGGAAGAAGGGAGAGGGCGGATGTCAGCATGGATGGAGATGAGGATCGGAGGAGGAGGAGGAGGCTGGGTGATCGACAGGTGAGCAGGCACGGGTCGGCAGAGAGGGCGCAGTGGGTCACGTGCATGGTCATGTGCCCAAGGAGCGCGGCATCCCCTAACAAGGAGTGTGAACGTGTTTATATTTGGGTTTACTTTCATAGTAGATTCACTTGTGAGCACGCCCTCAGCATTTCACTGGCACCACGTTAGCATGGGTTTCAACCTGTCCCGCGTGTGCATTGGAAGTGCTGACGCTCTCCCCTTAGAAGGAGTAGCCACTTCGAAGATATTCTCCAGCTCAACAAAGCTGGAGGCGGCCTCGGTCGAGGCCACGCGAGCGGAATTAATGGAGTATGCACGAGATGTATGTAAAAGGGCGGCTGATATGCCCCTACCGCCCCTACAAGAAATCAACCATACTATTCCGCTGATAAACGAGACGCTTATCCTGCTGTGGCGACCCTCTCAATGTCCTGAGGCTCTGAGGGATCAGTGGGATGAGAAGCAGTGGACGTATCTGCGCACAGGCCGCTGGAAAGTAAGGAACTCGGGCAACACTGTGCCCATGCTGTTGATCCCTAAGGCCAAGTCGAACCCTCCGCGGCTCTGCGTGGTTGTAGACCTACGGGCGCGGAACAAGAACATGCATAAGATGTCATCTCCCCTGCCCAACATGGAAGGCATACTGCAGCAAGTGGCTTGCTGTAGGTACCGATCATTGATTGACAGGCAGGACATGTCAGGGGACGCCGCGCTCCTTGGGCACGTGACCATGCACGTGACCCACTGCGCCCTCTCTGCCGATCCATGCCTGCTCACCTGTCGATCACCCAGCCTCCTTCTCCTCCTCCTCCGATCCTCATCTCCATCCATGCCGACATCTGCCCTCTCCCTCCTTCCCCCGGCCATCTCCCTCAAATCCCCGCAAGCGGTCTAGCCAAGCCCGATTCCTTGCACCAGGGAGTGCTATTGCCGTATGCACTCCTCCCCCTTCACTTCGGCCTTCTCCCCGCGGATGTGGTCTACTGCCGTACAGGCTTGTACCAGATGCCTTTGCGCTCATCCGCACCACCCCTCTTCCTAGTCAGGCATTGGTCCTTGCCTCCAATGTCTCCACTGGCTGGCCCGGCACTGGCCTGGCCACTAGGCTCCTCCAGTGTGGCCTTCCACTGTTGGTGTCTCAGGAGCTGGCCATCACTAGCCCCTCTGAGCCACTCACTATCTTATCTGGGTTTGTCATTATCTACTTGTCATCTGCCATTGTTCCATGGCAGTGATATCCCATCATCATTAGTCACTTGTCACAGCTGACTATATAGTGTGACACCTGGGCACATGGATCCTTGAACCATTCTCTAAGGATCCCCCTCTGTGCTCAGACTCATGTGAGGTTGTTGTGTGCTGTATGCTCTCTTCCTTCGGGCTGGCAGGAGTTGCCCTTACAGGACACCTATGAGCAGATCCGTATTGTGCCAGAGCACATTAGTCGGACTTGCATGACCACGCTGGATGGCAACATGGTCAGCCTGGTGCTACAGCAAGGCGACTGCAACGCGCCGGCAACATATCAGTCCCTCATGAACTATCTGTTCTCTGACTTTATAGGAAGATTTATGGATGTCTATCTGGATAATATAATTATATACTTGGATTCTCTCGAAGACCATTGCATGCACGTCAGGAAAATAATTGACATTCTCAAAAGGGAAAAGCTATATCTAGGGGAAAACAAGCTGCAGTTCTTAAAAACCGAACTAAAGATACTCAGACGAGTGGTGGATGACCAGGGGATCCGAATGGACCCCGACAAGGTCAACTCTGTTCTGACGTGGAAAACGCCCACGAACCGTGACCTATTGCGTGGTTTCTTGGGTTCAGTGGGTTACCTTGCAGATGATCTAGATTGGGTGAGGGTGCCCATGTCCGTCCTGCACGGCCTGACTGGTGACTCCGTAGCGTTCCAGTGGAGTTTCACTCACCAACGTGCGTTTGAGGACATCAAGAGGGTGGTCGCTAGGTTCAGGGAGCACAGGCGCGTCCCACTGGTCTACAGACCGGACCAGGATCCCATATTTTTGGTCACGGACGGTTGTATTACAGGCGTTGCGGGCGTGGTTTCACAGGGCCCCAACTGGAAGAACGCCAAGGTGGCCACTTTCTTCTCGGCCAAGCTGAACTCCGCTCAGCAAAATTACCCGGTCCACAAGATTGAAATGCTCACTGGCGTTGAAGCGATGATGCGCCACCGGGACATTCTGCAGGGATGTCATTTCCAATGGATCACAGACCACAAGGGCCTCATCCATTTGTTGGAGCAGAGGAACCTGTCGGGAAGGCAGGCTCGCTGGATGGAAAAGCTGGCCGAGTTCAATTTTGAGGTTGTGTACGTCCCGGGAAGCGAGAACGTTCTGGCGGACTCATTGTCTTGGTTGTACTCGAACGAGTCCCCAGGAACGGTGAGGTCCCGTAGCGAGTACACATACCACAATGTCGTGAGCAATGACGCATTGGATCTGGGATCTATTTCTATGCCTGTTTTTGCTGGATGCGAGGCAGTGGCACTTTCGTCCAACCGCGTCTTGCGGTCACATGCACAACTAGCACGGGAAAAATCCCAGGCAGGGGGTGAGAAGGAGGTCCCCCCACAGCCAACTTGTGGTGGAACAGAGGGTGGGCCACCCCCAAGAAAGAATCCATCGAGCATGGAAAGTGGAGGGGCAGGAAACAGACTGCCAGGGATTGCCGAAGCAATTAATAACGCGAATTCAGCGCTATTGCCAGCGGTGGAAGCCGGATGGGCAGGAATGGACATTCCCACCCACATCAAGGGAAAGTACGTGGATAACCCCTTTTTCCAGACAATACTACAGGACCCAAGGGCCCACTGTAACTTTGAAACTTCCCATGGCCTGATCTACCTCAAGGACAATGATTGTTCACTCTTGTGCATATCCAAGGTCCTCTATGGGGACCGCAACCTGAGGGAGATCATCATCTCGGAGGCGCATTCCATCCTTGCCCATCTGGGGCCACGGAAAACCGCTGACTACCTGCACAAGTACGTATGGTGGAAGGACCTGGTCAAAGACACCAAGTCCTACTGCAAGTCCTGCACCACGTGCCGGCGCTCAAAGCCGGGCAATCAAAAGCCGTATGGAAAACTGCACCTGTTAGATGTTCCCTTGAGACCCTGGGAGGTGATTGGCATGGACTTTGTAGGACCACTGCCACAGTCCAAGAACCGGGATGGGATCTTTGACTGCATCACAGTGGTAATCTGCCACCTCACTGGGATGGTGCATATCATCCCTAGTCAAATTAACTATACTGCTCGCCAGTTGGCCGAACTGATGTTCGAGGAAGTGTATAAACTGCACGGCCTACCAAGGTCCATCGTAAGCAACCGTGATGTCCTGTTCACAAGTACGTTTTGGCAGCGGCTCAACGAGCTCATCGGCACTAAGCTCAGAATGTCAAG